TTTCTTTTTTTTTTTTTTAAGATTTACTTATTTACTTGAAAAGCAGAATTACAGCGAAGGAGAGAGAGCATTTGCATTCACTGATTCACTCCCCAAATGGCCGCAACTGCTGGAGTTGGGCAAGTCGGAAGCCGGGAGGCAGGGGTGCTTTCCTGATCCCCATGTGGTACAGGGCCCAAGCGCTTGGGCCATCCTCTGCTGCTTTCCCAGGCCATTAGCAGGGGGTTGGGTCAGAAGTGGAGCAGCTGGGATTTAAACCACGGCACTGTTGTGGGGTACGAGCGAGATTACATAAGACATGTCTAAGGTTTATTAAGGAGTCTTTATTAACCAAGCTTGATGATAATAGAATACACTAGAAATAGCAAACCACAAGTCAATAAGGCAATCCAACCAATCATAATCCAACCAAACTTAATCCCTAAAGGAACAAATGGTCATTATCCTTAAGTCCATCCATTAAGCTGGAGCTTCCCCAACAATATAAGTTATCCTAAGAGACATGCAACGAATAACCTGGACACACTTACAAAGCTGCAGACATTCACCTTTCCCTGGCTTCTCTGCCCATAATCCATCACTGCTAGGAATCACCTCTCCTGGAACTCCTGACAGCACACAAACCAGAAATATCATTACTATATCCATTGTGCCATCTAAGCAGTACACAGGGACCATGCTCAGGGGATTACCTGTCCTGGGTCAGCCAAGAGTCCAGGTGCCAAAGTGACAGAAGCACCTGGCCAGAGAGTGACACCCCCGCACCCCCCCCCCAGCTTCACAAGCCTTTTCAAGGGGCTTGTGAGGGGAATGGTTACAACAAGGCAATACCATCCTCTCTCAGTTGATAGGTGAGTCACAGGTGGGCAGGAGCGAATACCTAAGTGTTGTAGGCTAAGGAGTTGATTAGTGTTCCTTGGGATGGGCAGGAACAGGAACTGGGCTTGTAGCTAAAAACACCTAGACTAATTGGATTTGTCTGCATCCAATATCCTGGCTAAATTAGGACATGGGGGGAGTGGTTGAGGATGGAATTAACATTCCATTGCTGTTAGGACCCACCTTCAGGACAGAGGGTAAGGGACACAGCCACATTTCATTTGCCCACTGTCAATGGGTGCTGGCTATCAGTGGCTGCACCCCATTAACAGGCACCAGTTCCCTGTATTTTCCCTATCGATCCATTCTTCGAGGAGCAGTTCAAGTGTCTCCTTCCTCCATTGATTTGCTCCAAGTGCGCAAGCTGCAGATTCCTTGGAGATGCAGCCCTACCTTTTTTTTGTACATCAGCATGTGGTCGTCTTCTGGGCAGAGTGGATGGACAACTGGTAATTTAACAATGCAGTCCAAAGTTTATTCTCAACAGAAGAGTTTCCTTTGCCTTGTAGCATACTCAATTCTAGTGTATCATTTTTCTGCCTTCCTCTCCTAACTTAGCTGTGGACAGCAGGAGAGGATCTGCTTTTGTCTTCGCTTTCTTAGCACCCAAAACAGAGTGGATCTGTGATAAAGGCTTGGGGCCCCTGCTGTGGTCCAGCTGTGATGCCAGCATCCGATATGGCTTCCAGTTCAAGTCCCAGCTGCTCCACTTCCTATCTAGCTCTCAGCTAATGAGCCTGGGAAAGCAGTAGAGGATGGCCCAAGTGCTTGGGAAGGTGCTCCAAGTTTGTGACTCCTCTTTTCAGCCTGGCCCAGCCCTGGCTGTCACGGTGATTTAGGGAGTGAACCAGAAGATGCAAGATCTATCTCTTAACTCTTTCAAAATAAGTAAAGTGGGTCTCAGGACAGGGCGTCTCATGCCCAGATCCCTGACGCCAGCTACTGCGTGCACGTGGTGAGCTATTCCCAGGCCTGCCTGGGCTCTGGGGGCTGCTCCCTTCAGGGTGAGTACACCCACCGAGGGGGGAGGTCTCTGTGCCTGGGCGGCCTGGAGCCCAGGGCCCAGAGCCCACCCGCCCTCATTGAGAGGTGGATGGGATTGTGGAGGAGCTCTGGGGTTTTGGTTCTTTGAATTGCTGCTTAGGTAGCTCCAGGTTGAACTCACTGTACTTTTGGGATGTGAATCAATCCTAAAGATTCCCAATGACAGTAACTCTTCCGTTAAAGAACTTGTAATCATTGAACAATGCTGACCACCAAACACCAGTCCATGCAAAAGCTAAGGCTCGGGGCTTGTCCAGCAGATTCATACCCTGTTACCTGACACAATGATGGATCAGGAAACAGGTCACATTAGGCAGGGCCATGACATTAACTAGCACACAAGAGAGCCATATCCAGGGGTAGATTCTGTGGGGGATGTGTGGGCCAAACCCTGTGGAAATTCTAGCCCCACTGGTTACTTCAAGAGTTGGGGTGGTGATGGACTAAGCTAGGTGTGGCCAAGGAGCCTGCCATCAATCACAGGTAAAGCAACCCACCACAGTCTGGACTGGTCAAGGCAGCAGCACCTGAATGTGCATCCTGAATAGGGTGTGGGGTGGGCCGGACTGCAACATTCACCAGCTCATACAAGGTCAAATGGAAGGTCAGACTGCACCCGGCACTGGCATAAACCCAATGGCATGCTGAGAACTGGGTCTGGGAGAGGATCAAGTGGAGTCATAGCCCCTGCTGGTGAACATGTGGTTCAGAAGTGGGGGTTGGACAAACTGGGCAAAGTAGCTCCAACAGCTGGCTAATGTGTGAATTGGTAATGGAACGGGGTGTACCAGGCAGGACTGAGCAAACCTTAGCCCACAAGCGAAACTAGAAACAAGGATGGAGCACAGGTCATGCTGAGATAGACTCTTGCACACTGGTCCACGTAAGCCAGGAACACTAAGCCACAATGTCTAAGGCAAGGGTCAGGATAGGTGAGGGGCTAGACAAGGCTGAGTCAGAGCAACCACTGGCATGTGCGTGATCTATGGCTGGGAACAGGCCCAGTTGGGGGCAAAGGGAATACCCTAACTAGGTTGAAGTTCCCACCAAGGGGCACGTGGGCTGGAATGGGGGCTGCGTTCTGATCAGGAAATGGTTGTAGTCTCCCCTGGAACAAGTGTGGACTGGGACTGGATGCACCAAGCCAGGCCAGAATCCAACACCGTCTGGTGTCCTGGAGGACCAGGGTAGATGTGGGACGGACTAGGCAAGGGCTCAACCCCTACTGAGCCATGCATGAGCCGTATGTGGGTATGGACAAGCTGTGGCTGGGCTGAAACATCCAATAGCAAGAACCAGCTTGGGTTGAAGGCCAGTCAGGAAAAGCCACTGTTCCTGCTAGGACAGGAGGTGAACTGAGTAGGGCTGGCTCATGGATCCCCTGGTATGCGCAAAATCTGGCACTGGGAGAGGTTCTGATGGAGGAGCCTGGGCAACTCCTCTGGCAGGACACAGATCCTGCAGGTAAGAGCAAGAAACATGATAGGAAACAGCCCACAACAGGCCATGGTAAGTTACCCACGGGCATACATCTGGCATGGGTCGGGGGCAGACCAGGCTGAATCAGTTCACGTAATCCACTGCCAAATCCAAGTACCAGAACACTGTGTGGGTCAGACCAGGTTCGGTCTCAACAAAAATTAGTGCACAAAAAAAATACAGAATGCCAAGGTGAGGTTGCCTGTACCAGATGTGGCTGTGGCACCCAACCAGCACGTGTGAGAAGCAGCAAGGGAGGGGGCGGAGCTGGCAGGGGGATTATGGGGGGCTCCCTTGCTGGACAGCTACTCCCACTGGAGAGTGTGAGCTGGGATGGGGACAGACCAGACTAAGCAGGGCTACAACACCTGTGCGCCTAATGTGGCCTAGATCAGGGAAAAGCCAGGCTGGGCTGATTGTTCCTACTGGTGCAAACAAAATTAGAGTGGGTGAGGGTTGTTTGGGCTTAGCTGCAGCATCAGCTGGCACTGGGGGCTAATTCTCTCAAGTCAAACCACAGAACCACCTGGAGAGTGCATAATCCGGCAGTGGGAGAGGCCTAGAAGGGAAATAATGGGCTCTTCCCTCTTGGGTTAACACTCCCATGGGAGGGCACGAAAACTAGGACAGGGGCTGGGGTGGCTAGACAGACACCCAACAGCATCTTTGTGGGCTGCATAGTGGAGCTGGTCAGATGGAACTAAGCTTTAATACCCATTGACATGTACGAGAGCCGAATGGGATGTGGGACAGACTGGACTAGTCTGCCACACATACTGGAAAACCAGGGTAGGGAGCAGGCCTGGTGGGGGTTATTGTGGGTGGCCCCAACTAGGCTGCAGCTCCCACTGGTTCATGTGAGGGCTGAGTATGTGCTAGGCAGAGCCAGGCTGGACTGCAACACCCATTGGTTCCAGTGGAAGTCGGGGCTGAAAACAGAACCAACCCAGAGATCGCAACCACCAGCTGATGGGGCAATGGACTGTGCTGGGCCCTGTACTTGCTAGTACATACAAGAATCTGGTCTGGGAATACCTCAGACAAAGTTTCTTTGGGGATCTGCCCAATTGAAATGCCGGACTCAGAACCCTAACCAAGAAAAGACAGAAGACAGAATAAGTCAGTCAACCACCTCAGGTGTATGTTGGCAGCGAAATACTGGTTAAACGGAGACTCTATGATGGACTATGTCAATCAGTGGCGAGACTGGCAGCGATTCATAACTGGTGAATTATGAAAACCACTTGAGTAAGAATCTCGAAGCATGCCCCACATCCGGGACTTGGGGTGGGTAGGAAACTGGGTGGGGCTTCTCCCTCAATATCCCCCTTTACCTCAGATACATGAGGAAACAATATAGAAATAATAGTCTTGCCCACTTTCCTGTAGCCCTTGAACTTTTTTACCCTAATTAACTTTATAAAGATCGTCAAAATTAATTTTTTTTTTAAAAACTCCAAAAAAAAAAACCAAGTAAATTTAAAAAGAAGTATATAAAGGCTCAACAGCTTTTAGGGAGATGAGGATATTCTGAATAAGTTTCAAGGAAGATGGGGAGCACTTTAAACACTTTAACCTGGTAGTGAGCGCTGACTTACCCCACGGAAGCATCAACTCGCGGCTACCAACTAGGATTCAACAAAGGTGGCGCGTGTTGCCCAGAAACACCCCAGAAACAGCCAATCCAGAGTCCCTCAGGCTCACCTGTCGCTCAGAACTGTGGACTTCACACCGTGCTGATGCGTCCCGATGGAAACCCGCCCGCAAAGCCCGAAGCCCCGAGTCATAAATCGGTCATCGTGACTACGAGAGGCTCAAAGTTCAAAGTCGGCGGGAGTCGGGGTGACGCTGGCTGCAAGAAGGGAGGCCATCAGCATTTACTCCACGGGCACCGCCACGGAGCCCCCGCGGCTCGCCCACTCCGGCCCAGGACACGAAGAAGGTGAGCATGGAAAGCACACCCTTCCCGCTGGCAGCAAGGCCCAGCCCACGTCCGCGGGGGACGGGACACTCGGGTCAGGCCGCCGTGCACCTGCCGGGCCTCGCAAGGCCGGCTAGGGTCAGACGCCAGCCCACCGTCTCAGGCCCATCGGGGTACCCTCTCCAGCCCCCGCCATTCCTCCCTCCCTGTCCCAAAGACGGTACCTGGGAGCCCCGCCTACCTGAGGCTCGCACACGGCGGACTGCGCCGGAGGAACACTTCCGGCGGACGCAAGCCCTTCCGGTCGCTGGGGGCCAATCAGCGTGCGGCCGCGGTGTTCTCCGGACCCGCGTCCGGGTCGCCGCAGGACGCTGTCTGTCTGGGCTTCCCGGAGCTGGCGGTAAGCCTCGAGCCCTGCGGTCCCCAGCGCGTTCCCTCGGGGCGTCAGTCCGCCCGGGACTCACGCTGTGCTTCCACGCAGTGGACAGCCCGAGGTGGCGTGGGCCTTAGGGTCGAATGCCACGGCCCCGAGGCGAGGTCAACAGGTGGCAACCCCCCAAACATTGGCCACAGGGAACTCCACCCTGAGGCTTCTGCAGGTGGGCACCCCTGGATTTGGCGATGAGGTGATTGGGGTCGGAGAGGAATAATGGGTTTGAATCGACGTTTTTGTTACGTGTCTTCCAACTCTGCAAAAGACTAGATGTGCTTTCCTGCAGGCTGTTTGACATGTTTTTTTGTGTGTTTTGTTTTAATGAACATGTCTTTTCGCTTACTATATGTGGAGACAAATGTGGGTTTTTCATTTTAAAAGATTTCTTCACTTTTATTTGAAAGTCAGAGAGAGCTCTGCTGTCTCACTTCCCAAAAGGCCGCAAAGGCCAGCAGAAAGGAGTGGTCAGAAGCTCGGAGCTTCTTCAAGGTCTCCCAGGCAGGTGCAGGGGCCCAAGGACCTGGGCCATCTTCTGCCCTCCCAGGCGATAAGCAGGGAGCTAGGTCAGAAGTAGAGCTGCTAGGACTGGAACCCATGTCCATTTGGGTTGCCGGCACTAGAGGCACAGGCTTAAGCCTTGATAGTCTCTCACAGCTCACCTTTGGAAAGTAGCTTAAGAAAAGTTACCCAGAAGTTGGGTTGGAAAGGTTTCTTGAAAAACTTTTTTTTTTTGAAAAGCAGAGAGAGAACTCCTTGGGTTGGTTCGTTTCACTAAATAGCTCTGTCAGTTAGGTACAGCCCAGCCTGAAGCCAGGAGCCTGGGGACTCAGTCTCTAGATTGTCTCCCATGTTGGTGACACAGACGCAAGAGCCAGAACTCGAACCCAGGCACTGTGTTGTGGGATGCTGGCATCCCAAATTTCACCTGAACCCCTGTGCCAAATTCCCACCCTGGGTGGAGATGTTGTCCTAGGACCAGGAATTCGCAGGACAGCATCAAATACAGCTTTATTGTACAGGTGTGGTCGCTGGCATGACATTGCAGGTGCCTAGGACAGACTTCCAGCTTCAGTGTTGTACAACTCCTCCACCAGAGGGTATAGTTCCTGTCACTTTTGTCAGACCCTGGAATTCCTTATCCCCCATCCATTGTTTTTCAGGATTGCGCTTTGGACATGAAGTCGCTTTTCTAGCCCACCTTAGGGAAGACTGTTAAATTCCAGCCACACGTTGGAATGGTTCTAGCAGCATATCTTTGCAAAACGCTTCCAATTCAGAGGATTTTCTTGATAAAAGTAAGTGCCAATTACCTTTCATTTTTGCTAGGTGGCAATGAGGGGACACATCGATGCCTGGATAAAACGGAGCTCAGTGGCTCACTGTGCCAAGTCAAACTGGAATTATGAGAACTATTTGAAGAATGTGCTGGATCAGCACTTTTCTCACAGTATACTTCCCCTAATGTTGATAGTCTGTCATCCTACCCAGGCATTTGTGCTGGATTTTGCAATTTATCTGAAAGGCAGGAATCTTTGATTCATGAATTCACTTGCCTAGTGCCCGCAGCTGCCGATGCTGTGCCAAGCCAAGCCTGGTCAGGCTGAAGCCAGGGGCTGTGAATTCAGTTTAGCTCTGCCACACAATGGCAGGACCCCAACTACTCCTGCCTGCCACCTCCCAACACACACACGAGCAGGAAGCTGGGATTGGGAGCGGAGCCAGGTCTCAAGCCCAGATGCGCAGTACGGGATTGGGGGCATCCCAAGGCGCGTCTTGCCCACGTGCCGGAACCCTGTGGCACTGAGCCATGGTGAGGATCACATGAGTGCTTAGCCCAGCGTGTGGCCCGTGGGAACAACTCAGTGAAGCCTGTTACCGTCATCATCATCCTTCTAGTCAGAGGAGCGTGATGAGATGTAGGCTGCCAAGGAACGGACACATCCGCACGGGGAGTACAGGTGTCCCTGCTCGGGGAGAGGCCAGGAAGGAAGATTCCGTGAGCAGGAGCCTCACGTGTGTCTGCCTCTGTTGTCAAGTTAGCACACACGGCTCGGATGAAGGCAGCCACCCTTCTGTCTTCTGTTTAGGATTCCATAGAGGGAGTCCCGCAGTGTCTGCTTTTGTGCCTGGCTTCTTTCACTCAGTATGCATGTGAGATTTATCTGTAATTTATTACTTATTGCTTATTAATATTTCAATCTACATAAGTAAATATGTAAGTTTGCTCATTCATCCATATCTCTCTAAAAAAGATTTCTATTATTTAATTAAGTTATTTATTTAACATAAAAAGATAAAAAGAATTCCCATCTGCTGTTTTTTGTGTTTTTTTTTTTCCAAGTCAATCAAGGCTGTAGGGAGCAAGGTAGAAAGTTCAGGGAAAAAAGAAACTTCCTGAAACGCTGTCATAAGGTAACCTGAGATGTGTCTGATGTGTTAGCATGTTCGGGGGTGAAGTTCAGAGTGTAAAGTTTGTGTTCACAGATGTTGTTGCTTCCTATCCCGACAAAAAGACTTGAGGAATGTTTTGCTGTCAGGATGTTGGAAGCAGTTAAGGCAAGATCCTCTTCTGCCAGCACCACTACTGTTTTGTCTTAAGCTAATGTGATTTAGCAGAAAAATGCAAATGTCTTCCTCCCTCCCGTAGCTTTCGAAAACTTGAACTAGATTTCAAATAAAATCTGAACAGAAAGCTAAAAAAATCCAACTGGAGCTTCTCATTTGGAGTAAGCATGCTCAGGGTGGGAACCCTGTGTTTCAGTTCCTCCTTATCCACTGTCGTCGCTTGTTAGCCTGTAAAGGCAGCTTTCTTCCACATGTCTGACCCGCAGTGCTTCCTGTTGCGTGCTTTGTTGCCAGCTACCATTTCCTGTAGGAATAGCAGGCTAGGAGAAAAGCTAGGAGGCAGGGTCAGCCCGTCCAGGTCACTTCTGAGAGGGAGGAGGCCAGCAGGATTCAGGGGGCAGCTTCAGGCTGTTGGCTTGGCCTCTGGCCTGGGACAGGCCACCCTGCACAGCCGCAGAATCCCCAGGCCTGAGAGAAGCGCTGTGGGATGGAGAGTGGGCGGTGATGAGTCGGAGGGGAGGCCTCCGAGAGGGGCTGCTTTGCACACCCACTCTAACCAGCCCGACTTCCGCTCCTCTCTGCTCTTCCTGTCCCTCAGGTTCTCGGACCCCCTGTCCTGAAGGAGCCAGGGCTTCTCCGGACGGCTTACCAGCCGTGCTGGGGTCCTTACGTTCCCTGCAAGACTGGTAAATGTTGGACAACGACAGGTTAGTCGGGGAAGTTCTTCGCTCACCTGTGGAAGCCAGACTGCTGACTGACAGGAGCACAGACAGATAGTAAAGTTCGGGGGTCGTTTTTTCCTATATTTGAGAGGAGAAAGAAAAGCACGATGAGAAATACTTTCTTTGTCTTTTATCAGAACATGTGTCTGAAATGCTGACACATTTAACGATTTAGTAAGAGCTGGGAGGCTTGCTGCTTGGTGCACCCCACTTAGCCCAGCAGCGCTGCTGCCAAGGAACAGCGCGGGCACCTTCGCAGATGCTAGGAAGTGGAACTTACCCACAAAAGGAAAAGTCCCTGGTGGGTTCTTTTTTAAACTTTCCTCATAGGACTCTCAACTGAGGCACATGTCTGATTGGGAATTGCATTTGTACAACCCTCTAGTTGGAGTGTCAGTAGAATGTAAACCTGAAGACTACTGGTGTGTTGCTCTCAGCTAAGCTTGGGCGTCCATAGTGAGTACGTACGCAGTCGGAAGCCAGAGCCGTAAACACCACAGTGCAGACTCCTGCTGCAAAGGATCCCACACCGAGGACCGAGAACAGCCCCCTCAGGGCCTGGGGGACTGGCTCGGCGTGAGTCAGCAGCACCGTGAGGCCTGGAGGGACAGGGAATAGCGTTGGCTTCTGGGATGAGCCATGTCAGGAACATGTTGTTCTCACCTTGTTTTTGAGTCAGTGCATCAGTGACAGACAGAGATCTTCCATCCGCTGGTTCACTCCCCAAATGCCCTAACAGCTGGAGCTAAGCCAGGTCAAAACCAGCAGTGAGGCACTCCCTGCTGTTCTCCCGTGTGGCCAACCACTTGGGCCATCAGGCTGTGCCTTCCGAGGTGTGTCAGCAGGAAGTTGGAGTGAAGGCAGAGCAGCATTGGGACAAGGATGCTGCGACCACAAGCAGCACTCTACACTACTGACAGTGCTTCCTCCCTGTGTTCTTTAAAAAAAAAAATATTGATGTACTGATTTAAAAGGAAGGCAGATACTGCCCATTTGCAAGATGCCTCCTGTTTGCAGGTCCGCTCCCCAAGTCAAGCCAGGAACCCAGCTCAATTCTCCCACACCATCTATCACTGCCTGCCTCCAGGCTCCACGCTGTGGGATGCAGGTGTCCCTAGCCACCAGGCAAGTGCCTGTCCCATACCTCCCACCCCATTCCTCAGGAACTTTTTAAATAAAAGTTCTCTTTAGTGAATTTTTAATATGAGGTTTTTTTCTTATGTTTTAGCCTGTGAGTTAAAGAACAGAAATCCTGTTTTTTAAATTAAGTAGAGGGACAGAGTTCTCTCAGCCTGTCCCCTGATGCGTGCAGCAGCTGCAGCTGGGAATGCAGGTCTGCCAAGGCATGGCGGGAACCAAGTTAACTTGAGCTGTCACTGCTGCAGGTGTGTGCGTGAACAGGAAGCAGGAGTGAGGAGTGAACAGGAAGTCAGAGCTCACTGCGGGAAGCAGGTGTCCTGACTGATGCCTTAGCCACCGGGATGGACGTCTGCCCTGGAAAGCCCCTAGCTTGGTCATTTTTGTTCTAGCAGTGTCTGTCAAACAGAAGACACTTCACAGGTGCCTCCCCGGGGATTCCACGCTTACCAATTGTGAAGAACGTCAAGATGATGTGACCAACCAGGTTGGCCAGGAGAGGTTGACTGCAGTACCGGGAAGAACGGGGCCTGAAAACCAACACACTGGGTCATAGCTTGGTTTAGTATTACTCACTCCGGGAAACCAAAACACCCAGTAACCCCGGGATCTTTTATATATCTATATCGATATCGATATTTTATTTATTTGAAAGGTGGAGAGGCGGAGGCAGATGAGAGAGATGGTGCTCCTCTCCTTAAATGGCCACAAGTGCTAGGGCTGGCCAGGCCAAAAGCAAGAGCCCAGAGCTGCTTCTGGGTTTCCCTGCTGTAAGCATCAGCCCTCAGGTAGCTTGTCTCTGACCGACTTGCTTTTCTGTAGAGCTTTGCCTCTTTCTATCATGAGTGCAAACTAATGCTTGAAAAAGTCCATAAGCATCAGTCAGAGTTCACTGTCTTCACTGATGGATAAAGGATACTTACAGTTTTTCTAATTCATTCTAGTTCAGTATTTTGGGGGAAACTATTCTGTCTTTTTTTTTTTTTTAAGATGTATTTATTTGAAAGGCAGAATTGCAATGAAGGAGGACTAGAGAGAAAGATCTTCTACCCACTGGTTCACTCTCCAGATCTGGAATGATCAGGGCTGGGTTAGGCCAAAACTGGGAGCTGGAGCTCCATCCGGGTCTCCCACGTGGGTGACAGGCAGCCACAGGCACCCAAGCACACAGACCATCCTTCCTCACTGCTAACGGCATGTTAACATGTGGCTGGTTCGGTGGTAGATCAGCTGGGACTCAAAGCAGTGCTCAGATGGGCTGTCAGTGGCTTAGCTGGCCCTAGAATTCAGGCTTTCTTGAGTGAAGAAATGCACCGTCCTGGACATAACCTTCCCATAATAGATGCTGGTCACATTTTTCCTACCTCCCGACTAATTGGGGTCTCAATTCTGATTGTTTTTTTTTTTTATCAGTTCTACATTGTTGTGAGTGTGATTTTTAAATTTTGAATGAATTGAGTTGTATTTGCCTATTTTTCTCAGTGACAGATGTTAACACTATTTCTTGCTGCCCAGCGCAGTCTGTGGCAGCCTATGGAGGGAGGCTGACGTGGGGCCGTGTGCTTCTGTCTTCCTCTCCCGTATGTCCCTGGGGGCCTGTGCTGCAGGTGTTAGCACATGGCCTCTGGGGAATCCACTGCAACACCAGTGCCCTCACTGTCTCCCATGTAACGGCTTCTTACATTGTAAGCAGTGGGTGTGGCCCACAACTAGACTCCATCTGCCCACATCTCTGGTGTCCTCCCTGTGACAGATTTTTGACTATTCAATGCACTCAGGTAAATAACAGCGGGGTCAGGAACTATGGGGCAGGTTGCAGGTAAGCAGGTGCCAGGGACCCCAGCGAGCTCCCAGACCACAGCCACAGGTAAGCCACACGCACTGAGCTGCTTGCCGGGGCGGGGCCTCACCTGAGCAGGACGTAGAACTGCAGGACCAGGGTGGCGATCCCAAGCAGGAGCACCGTCACCTGACTGCAGGGGACACAGCGCGTTAGGGTTTTGTTCCTTGTCTCGTAGAGGTTCTGTTTTGTGACAATGTGACATTAAACCACAGAAGGAAACATGGCAGACAAGTTGAGGTCCATCCTCTTGGAACAGAGTTATGGCTAATGATAACTACTTCAGTGAGAGTGTTGGTAACCACCTGTTCTGTCAGCCTGTGCCATGTAGCAGGTTTTCTTGATGCTGTTTCCTGGGGACTCATTAGGCCCCAAGTTGCATCACGGTGACTGGAGTTGTGTGTGAAGCGGCCCACACTAGTATTCATCATGATAGGTGATTAGATGTGAACCATCTCATTTAGTAGGCACAGCAGTCTATTAGAAAGAAACAGGAGTCCCTATTTGACAAAGAAGGAAAGTGAAACGTCTTGCTCAAGGACAAGCAGCTGGTAGAAGTAGGTGGTGGTCCAGCTAGGACGGAAACCCATGGCGGGGATTCTCAGCCACAACCCTGTGCTCTGCCGGCTCTGCCAGCTGTGCCAGCTGTGCCTCCTGCCATGGGATTCACGTTGAGTGTGATGAACTGCAGTACACACAGCAAAGCGGCTGCTCTTGCTGCTCAGCTGAAATGTTTCTTCTCCTGAGTAGATGTGTGCTCATGATTACATGGCGTATCAGAAATTCTTCCTTATTAACTGATAGTTCTCTCTCTTCCTTACAATAAGCTGTTATTATTCACCTTGACTTTTTATTGATTGGCTTTAGTGCTGAACGACTAAAGAAATCAAATATACCATATAGGACAGAGATGTATCTTCAATGACGATATTTAAAAGAATATGTAATATCAAAATATATCATCCCAAGAATATTTAAAATATAGGCAGCATTGTTAGGACAAGGACAGAGCTAGCTACAGGCTTCAAGATAGAATTGTACAGGCCATAAACATCCCTTTAGAAGGGAAAATGCTGGAAGGGGGCTGGCCAGTCCCTGGCCCAGCTGGCTAGTATATGTGTCATTGTACTGTGCGTCCTGAAATGAGAAAAAGAATGCCATACAGAATTCACCTTGCTTTAAGAAAAGGCTGATGCTTAAAAACTGGTTCAGAGTTTACAAAATACCCATTAATATTTACACTTTAGTATTTTTAAAACTTTGAAAGATCGGTGATTTTAAAATTAAAAGTCAACTGTAATTAAACTTGAGGATATCACGTGTGGGTCACCCCGGACAAGGGAGAGACACTTACAGCCTGAGCCAGTGAGATCTCGGCAGCCGGCAGTGCAAGTGGTAGGCAGAGTGGGCCAGGCAGAAGTGAATCATGGGAACACCAGTCCAGGAGCACCCGGAGTGAGGGAGGAAGAGCCAAGGCCGTCCGCGGAGTTCTGGATGTCTGCAGCCATTCGTCCTCAGCCCGCCGCCAACACCTGCAGGAATTCAGGGGCAATGCTCGCAGTCAAGTAGGGCCCGGCCGTACTGTGCACCCACCCTCGTTGCCCTCATTCCTCTTGGAGTCCAAGCTTGAGCTGCCTGTGTGCACAGTGAATGAATAACGCTGAACAGGATATTGGAGACCACTTGGGCTTTCTTTGTGCTGGGTGATCAGCTTCCCTGGCCCTTCCCAGCCCCTGGGGGATGGCCTGGAAAGCTGATAGCTGCCAGGAGGGCCCTGTGTGCCTTCTCTGTTTCAGACCTGAGGCAGCTTGCTCCCTGCAGGCTGATCCCCATGCTCTCAGCCTCGCCTTGGCATGCTCCCATCTCACTGTCTACAGGAGCGGTGCCTGATGTCTGAGCTGGGTGGAGTTGGGACTAGAACAGTGTCAATGGACCTCAGCCCCTGACCGTGGTCCTTCAGAGGATGCTCTGTCACTGGCAGATGGCCTTATTTCCCTGTAGGGCCCAAGGCTGCATTAACTGCCACTCTGTAACACAAGGTGTAGAATTCAGTGACAGTAGTGAGTGATGGGGGCAGCGTGCGCCCTGGTATTGCCCTTAGGATGACAGCTGACAGGTGTGGGAAGGAAATCTCTCTTACCCTTGCATTCCTGGATGCCATGCTGGGCATAGGGCTTCCTCTCAACACTTGGCACTGTCCCTTTAATCCCTGCATGGTGTCTTGTTAGAGAAGTCCTTCAAAGTGTGTTGAATAAATGAGTATTATTTCCTTCCCCATCAACACTTCATAAATCGGGGCTTACCCTCCAGCTTCTCTTGGTTCCATCTGGCCAGTCCTGTGACGTCTGTCCTCGGCATCGCCCTCCTGCAGAGAAGAGCTGCACTGGAGTGTGGTGCCAGGCCAGCCTGACAATGCCGTGCTCCAGGCTGGCCTCACTGTGCTGTGGCCCCTCACTGTGCTGTGGACCAGCCTAGCACTACCGGGATGGGTTCCCTCATGATCCCCTGCTTAACAGACGAGGATGCTAAGGAGGATGAAGTGATCCAGGCAGGTGCACATGACTAAGTGAGGAGTTTAAACATCCGTATCATTGTTTTTCCAGACCCTGTTGTCAAGCCATTGCTCAGAAGCTTTCAGTCCCCATGCCCGGGGATTAAATTCATATTTGGCTCCTTAGCTGCGAGAGGGCATTTCCCATCTAGCATGCCCCAGTTGATCTCCTTTTTCCTTGGAGAGAGAGCTTAAGAGCCCAGAAACCTGAAATCCAGCGCTAGCTGTGCTGCTCAGTAACCTAGACCAATGAAAACACAAAGTCTGAACTAGAGCTACTTGATTGAGCCAGGAACCATCCCAAGAACTATTGGGGCAGCTCTGCATTATCCTGGTCTTTTTGTTGTTATTGTTTGTTTTGTTTTTTAAGATTTATTTATTTTTCATTGCAAAGTCAGATATACAGAGAGGAGGAGAGACAGAGAGGAAGATCTTCCATCCAATGATTCACTCCCCAGGTGACTGCAATAGCCAGTGCTGCGCCAATCCAAAGCCAGGAGCCAGGAACTTCTTCCAGGTCTCCCACATGGGTACAAGATTCCAAGGCTTTGGGCCATCTTTGACTTCTTTCCCAGGCCACAAGCAGGGAGCTGATGGGAAGTGGTGCTGCCAGGATTAGAACTGGCTCCCATATGGGATCCCAGTGCGTGCAAGGCAAGGACTTTAGGCAATAGTCTACTGTGCCAGGCCCTGGAAGATCTTCCTCTCTGTGTACCTGTCTTTGCAATAAAAAGAAATAAATCTTCAAAAAAAAAAAATGCCCTCCAGAACTCTCCAAAATATTTTTTAGTAGAATTGCATTGTTGCTGTTATAAGTCCTCAGAAGGATCATTTTTTTTAAAGATTTATTTTATTTTTATTGGAAAGGCGGATATACAGAGAGGAGAGACAGAGAGGAAGATCTTCCGTCCGATGATTCACTCCCCAAGTGAGTGCAACGGCCGATGCTATGCCGATCCGAAGCCAGGAGCCTCTTCCGGGTCTCCCACGTGGGTACAGGGTCCCAAAGCTTTGGGCTGTCCTCGACTGCTTCCCCAGGCCACAAGCAGGGAGCTGGATGGGAAGAGGAGCCACCGGGATTAGAACCGGTGCCCATATGGGATCCCGGGCGTGCAAGGCGAGGACCTTAACCACTGCGCCACCGCGCCGAGCCCAGAAGGATCATTTTGAACTATGATTTGTATATGTATCAATTATTTTTTTAAACTTAATAATGACAGTACTATTTCATTGTTCCCTGGGTAGGGGGCACTTACCAAAGAGAGAATGCAGAAGTGAGTGATTCGGGGTGAGGTGGGATGGTTCTCCGAGTGGCTGGCAGGGAATGACCCCCACCAAGTCACATGCGCTGTAACTCCAGAGTACTGAGGGTTGACGAATGTTCTCTGCACATCTTTCCAAAAGCAATCGCAGGTGAAACAGAGCAAGTCAGAATGGCATCAGACTTTTCAGCAGTGGTGTTGTGTGCTGGGAGACAGTGCAGTACCTGTATTGCTGCAAAAGGAAATAAACTCAGAAACTGTTGGAAGTTATTGGATTGAGAAGGATTTTCTTAAGCTGTCTGTTACTGAGGGAGGAATGAGGACACGATCAGACACAAAGTATCTTTAAAAAACATTTTTATTTGAAAGGCAGAGTTACAGAAAGAAAGAGAAAAAGAAACCCTCATTCATTGGTTCACTCCCCAAAGCTGCTGGCTGCTGACTTCATTGGCCTGGGCCTGGCCAGACTGGAGCCAGGAGCCTGCCACTCCACTCGGCCTTGGTTGAGCTCAATTTCCTGCCAGCGTGCCTGGGAATGCAGTGGGAGATGGCCGAAGTAGTTGGGCCCCTGCCATTCAATGGGAGACCTGGATTTTCTGGATTTCCAGGGGTCTGACTGCAGCTGACCCAGCCCTGGCTGTTGAGTGTTGCATGAGCTAGTCGGAGGAAGATCTTTCTCTCCATATCCTCCTTCTCTGTCACTCTGGTTTTCAAATAAAATTCTTTTAATTTTTGTTTTTTCTTTAAATGGTCTGTAACTGAGCTTATTTCATCTTTTTGCTTTGTAGATAACAAGGGAGGTTCTGGAATTTTCCAGTTAGAGCAACAACTTCCAGTTCTGACCATGGCCAACTCAGAGAAGACAGAAGTGGTTCTCCTTGCTTGTGGTTCCTTTAACCCCATCACCAACATGCACCTTCGGCTGTTTGAGCTGGCCAGGGACTACATGAGTGGGACAGGTAGGCACAGAGCCAAGAGCCGCTTGCGCTGGTTGACCTCTGTAGTGAGGTGGGTTGCCCAGCTTGTGATCTGGGCACAAACCTGCAGCCTGACCTTCCTGTGTGGGCACCCATGGTGAGAAGAGTAAGCTGTGTTCATGGGAGGATTCAGCAGCAGCCAGCCTACTGCCCATTGAAACAAAAAATGCAAATCTGTCAGCTTGTAGTGCAACAGAAAGAATTATGATGATTCTGAAATCTTCAAAATAAGTTGTTTTATTTATTTGAAAGGTAGAGCCATAGAGAGATTGGCCATTAGCTAGTTCACTCCCCAAATGCTGCTAACAGCTAAGGGCTGTGCCACACGGAAGCCAAGGAGCCTGGGATACCAGCCAAATAACCCATGTGGGGGACAGGGACCCACATGCGGGGGCGTCACCATCTGCCTCCCAGGGCCCACTTTTACAGATCTGGGTCAGAAGCAGAGCCAGGACTTGAACCTGGGAGTGCCAGTGTGGGTTGCAAGCATTCCAGGCAGCCGTAGCCACAGTGTTCATCTGAAATTACACAGTGATTAAGGCTTTTTATAAGGTAATTTGGTAATATCAAATGTAAGCTGTACAGATGCAGGGAGAGCTGGTGGTTAGCAGTGACATTAGTTAGCTCTTCATTACTATAAATGATGGCACAGGCTGACTAGGAAGGCTGTTTTTTTGGCTCTCAGTTTGAGAGGGTCACAGTCCATGTTCCACTGGCTCTGCTGGGTCTGGCCAGCTGGCGAGGCCGGAGGAAAGCAGTGGCCAAGTGTGTGCAGAGGGGCAAGCAGTGGCTAGCCCTGAGACACAAAGAGCAGCTCGACTTATGGAACACCAGGCAGGCTGTCCTCCGTGAGCCCGCCCCCCGGGACCTGGGGCCCACTTTAGCACACCACGCTTGAGTCCGGCCTCCCTGCACCACCAGCCCGTGGATTTGGAGTCTAAAGGTCTGTGTGAATTCAGGAATTGACTCCTGTTCACACTGGAGCACAGAGTTTCCATTGGAGAAGGCGGAAGATGACAGTAGTGTAATTCTGTGAGTGAGTGTGTGTGTGTGTGTGTGTGTGTGTGTAACTAATAACACAGAATAGCTAATTTTACATCATATCACCATTAATCAATAAGGGAAATCTCTTATAAAGAAGCAGGATTTGTAATTCTAAATCAGTGTTGATCACAGTATGGCCTGTTCACCTGACATCCGTTCTGACTTTTCTGCAGGGAAGTACAAAGTCATCAAAGGTGTCATCTCCCCGGTGGGCGATGCGTACAGGAAGAAAGGCCTCATCCCTGCCCACCACCGCGTCATCATGGCGGAGCTGGCCACCAAGCACTCGGACTGGGTGGAGGTGGACACCTGGGAGAGCCTGCAGAAGGACTGGGTAGAGACGGTGAAGGTACTGAGGTATGTGGGTGACCACTCTGTCCGTGCTGTGGGCTGGGCCGTGAGCCCCACGTGCTGTGTGCTGTGAGGGACAGAGGGTGTTAACTGTGCCCTTCTGGGGTGAGGTCATTAGAAGCTCAACCATAGCAGCCAAGGGTCCCTCCTCGAGTTTGCTGAGGTGGGGCATCTGCTAGGAAACAGGAAGGCCCTGGGCTGGCTGTGCCCCAGGTGCCAAGGGCCCAGTGGCAGGAGGATGTTCCCTCCTGTCATTGGTCTTCCTCTGTGGAAACCCGAGAGGTGGGCACCGAAGGAGCAGTGTCGGTGCTGCTTGCCCACGAGCAGGCTTGAGTTTGTGAGTTCGCGGATCAAGGCCATGACAGCATTTGTGGGGTTTTCACAGACCCCTCTGCTTGTGGTTATGAAGCAGCTCAATTCTGGGTTCAGAATAACTTGTAATTATTTCTTAGATTATCTTGAGTATAAGAGGTTTGCTGAAAAACGTTTCTGTCTGAGGTCTGAGGGTCCAGGACCTTCCAGTTACTGCTGGATGGGGTTTGACACGAAGTAGGAGCCACTCTGGATGTTTTTGAAGTTGTTGGGTGTTTTCTAAGGGTGTTTGCAGCAGAAGGAATGGGAACATGCGGGCAGCAGTTTCCACTGGCAGGTGGGAGCCGGACTCCTCGGCTGTACCTGGAGCTCAGGGACCTCACCAAGCTTCAGTCGCTGGTCCTGCTCCAAGACCTCGCAGACAGACGGTGGCCTTGGGCTCTGGCCCTTGGTGTCAGGGAGCACCGGGGCTGGAGCTGGGGTACAGTGGCTACAGCCACCATCTGTAATGCCAGCATCCCATATTGGCCCTGGTTCAAGCCCCGCCTGCCTTGCTTGCCCTCTGGCTCCAGGCTAATGTGCCTGAGAAAGCAGCAAAAGATGGTCCAAGTCCTTGTTACACACCCACATGGGGGACCCTGTCCTTTCTCTCTGTAACTGCCTCTTAGCCTTTCAAATAAGCTTTTTAAATCTCTTTAAAAAGGAATTTTCAGTAGTATATTAGTAGTGGTAGCAGTAAGTAGCGGTGGAGTGACCAGGACTCCAATCAGTACCCATATGGGATGCTGCCATTTTAGGCGGTGGCTTAACTTGCTGCACTACGGTGCCAGCCATTCTGCTGCTGCTGCTGCTTTTCCTTTTTCTCCTTCTTTTTAGATTTACTTATTTTATTTGAAGAAGTTACAGAGAGGGGTGGGAGAAACAGAGAGAATGTCCATCCACTGATTCACTCTCCAAATGGCTGCAGTGGCTGGAGCTGGGCCAAGTGAAGCCAGGATCCATGGGCTTCCTCTTGATCTCCCATGTGGGTTCAGGGGCCCAAGGACTTGCGCCATCCTCTGCTGCCTTGCCAGGCCATGAGCACAGAGCTGGATCAGAAGTGGAACAGCCAGGACTTGAACCAGTGTCCGGATGGGACAACAATGCCACAGGCAGAGGATTAGCCTGACCATTGCCAGCTCCCACCCCTTCTTTTTTATTTATTTGTTTTGAGTTAAAAGGTAAAATGGCAAAGAGAAAGACAGGTCATTCACTGGTGTACTTCCCAAATGGCTGTAACGGGCGGATCTGGGGCAGGCCAAAGCCAAGGCCATGGCCTCCAACCTGGTCTCCCACACGGCATTGGGCCTTCTGCCATTGCCTTCCCAAGTTTTGATGGAAAGCTGGATCAGAAGCAGTGTAGCCAGGACTCAGACCTGCTCTGTTAGTGAGTGCTGGTGTCACAAGCAGAAGCCTAAGCTGCTGTACCACCATGCCGCCCTGATAGAGCTGCTCTGTAGTGACCAAGGCAGCCATCTCTCAGTCCATTGTCTTCGGTGTCACCTGTGTTCCCGAGGCTGTGTGCTGGGGCTGCAGCTCTGAGCCCCTGCTTCTTCCACTGTTGTGAGGACAATATTAACCACGCTCAGTGTTACGATTTGGATGGGATAATCCCTGTAAACCGTTTAGCTTGGTGTACTTGGTGTCTTGTCAGTGTAACAGATGCCCGGGGCTGCGGATCCTGGGAGCCACCGTTTCCTGAGCTCTCAAGGACCCCCTCCTTCCTGTCCCTGCTAGCCAGTGTCTAGCCCTCCTGGGAAGGGCCATTCCAGCTGTATGGGCATGGGTACTTGTTGGTGTTTCCGCCCCAGCTTGTACCTTGGAATGGAGGCTCTTGGGCAGGGCTAGAGGGCTGTCATCCCTGAGCAGCATCAGGAGAAGTAGGGCCCTGCTTGTGGTGTTTTACAGACACCATCAAGAGAAGCTGGCGGCCAGCTGGAGTCAGCAGCAGAGCTCGCCGGGGCTGGAGAGGCCTGGGCGCAAGAGGAAGTGGGCGGAACCAAGACCAGATCCCGGTCAGAAGAAGCTGGTGGAGCCAAAAACAAAAGGTTTGTGTGTCTTACCAGGACTCTAGGACAGTATTGAGAAGGTTCTGGAGCTGGACCCACCCCTTTTGTGTGTTCAGGTCAGATTCCGCGCATGGGGGTACCTGGGAAACGGGCAACAGCGTGTGAGCTTGTTTCTCCCGTAATGGCCCTTAACTTTCCAGTTGTCGTGGATCTCCTTTAGGAGTCTACATCTGCTGAGTGTGCATCCTGCTTCCCAGAACACGTGTTCGTGTGGCGTTGTTAGAGGAGTAAACCCTGGGCCAGTGTTGTGTGCAGTTAACCCGCACCTGCCATGCTGGCATCCCATATCAGAGTGCTGGCTCCAAGGCGTGGCTGTTGGGCTTCCGGTCCTGTTTCCTGCTGTTGTGCCTGGGAAGGCAGCAGATGGGCCACATGGGAGACGAGAGTGTAATTCCTGGCCCTGGCCCAGTCCTGGCTGTTACATCCATTTAGGAGGTGATCAGTAAAGGGAAGATCCTCCCACCTGCACTGTCCCTAAATCTATAAAGAAAAACTCCAGGCCTGCAGTGGCCTTCTTCCCCTTGGCAGGTGTGCCCAGGGTGACACTGCTGTGTGGGGCCGACTTCCTGGAGTCCTTCGGCGTCCCCAACCTGTGGAAGAAAGAGGACATCACGCGCATCGTGGCTGACTTTGGGGTCGTCTGCATCACCCGGACTGGCAGTGACGGACTGAGAGCCATCTATGAGTCGGACGTGCTGTGGGAGCACCGCAGCAACATCCACCTGGTGAACGAGTGGGTCGCCAACGACATCTCGTCCACGAAAATCCGCAGGGCGCTCCGGCGGGGCCAGAGCATCCGCTACCTGGTGCCCGATCTTGTCCGAGAGTACATCGAAAAGCATGACTTGTACAGTTCCGAGAGCGAGGACAGGAATGCCGGCGTGGTCCTGGCTCCCCTGCAGAGGAACACTGCCGGGGCTCAGGTGGAGGAGGCCCGTAGCTGACGGTTCGCACCTCCCTGGCAGGATGGGGGAAAATCTGTGCTTTAGTAACAAGAGGCAGACTTGTGATCCTGTATCATGAACTAAAGCTCAGAAGTTGGATGAAAATCAGGAGAAAATTAAAATCAGATTATTTTCATTGTATCAGAAGTTGTTAAGGTGAATGTATGGTATTTTTTTTTCCCAGAATATGCAAATGCTCTTTGAAACAGGTACCCTAAAGGTCAGGGAATTTTCAGTACAATTCACTCCAGAGGGTTTCCAAGACCCTTGGCACTGCCTCATAAGAGAAACCACAAGAGAACCCCCAGGGCTGCAGGGGCTCGGGATTCCTGGCGCTAGGCGTGTCTGCTGCTGGGCGGGATCCCTCAGAACAGACAAAGCAGAGGTGTGTTGGTCACAATTTTTAATTTATACATTAAGAGACAAAGGCACATACTATAGACAGCTCCCGTCCACTGCTTCTCTCCCCCAGGCTGTAACCTAAACCAGGAGCCTAGGACCCGATGCCAGTCTCCCACGTGGCTGGCCAGAACCGCCACACTTGAGCCATCCCTTCTGTTCTCCCAGCTCCAGTAGCAGCGAGCTGGAGTCAGAGCAAGACCCAGCAGCCAAATTCAGGCACACGGGCTTCTTAGCAAGCGTTCATCCACAAAGCGGTGTTTAAACTAGTGGACTTGTAAAAGGATTAACAGTGCCTGCTGTATAATGGAAAGCTTGTGACTGTGCCAGCAGGGACATTCCAGTTATAGCGGGTTCTCTCTGGACACACCAGAATGACCAGCCACCCTTTCCTGAGCCAGGGCCATCTGGAGCCCCACCTCTGGAAGCAGGGCATGAGGCCCCAGGCCTGCAGGATTTGGAAATGTGTGTGTGTGTGTGTGTGTCGCAAAGGAATAAGTTTATAGAAATTCTATGCTAGAAATGGTTAAATTTCTATTGTACATAGAGATTTTATCTTCTATTTTTAAGATTTATTTTAATTTTTTTATTCCAAAGTCAGATATACAGAGAGGAAGATCTTCCGTCCGATGATTCACTCCCCAGGTGACTGCAATAGCCGGTGCTGTACCAATCCAAAGCCAGGAGCCAGGAAACTCCTCCAGGTCCCCCACATGGGTGCAGGGTCCCAAGGCTTTAAATTCAGATATACAGAGAGGAGGAGAGACAAAGAGGGGATCTTCCATCTGATGATTCATTCCCCAAGCGGGTGCGATACCCAGAGCTGAGCCAATCAGAAGCCAGGAGCTCTCTGGGTCTCCCACACATGTGCAGGGTCCCAAGGCTTTGGGCCGTCCTCGACTGATTTCCCAGGCCACAAGCAGGGAGCTGGATGGGAAGTGGAGTTACCAGGATGAGAACTGGCACTCCCCACCAAAAAAAAAAAAAAAAATGAAAAACAAAGCCCAGATAGGATGTGCAAGGCAAGGACTTTAGCCACTAGGCTACCGTGCTGGGTCCTCCCAATTTGATCTTACCCTGCATGTGCCAGTATGGGCAGCAAACGGATCCAGTCCATCCGGCTCTTGTATACACCTAAGGGTGCTGCAGCTTAGCTCAGCCCAACCGGCCCTATGACCTAGTCCACACAGGTTCTGCTGCCTTGTCCAGCCTGGCCCACCCCCAGCCCCGACTTCCATGCTCACCAGCAAGAGATAAGGCCCTTCAGGGGTGCCCAGTTTCTCTACTAGGCCTACTTCCAGCCCCGTATCTTGCGCTTTCCAGGGGGTACTGCAGTCCAGTCTAACACAACTTGCATCCAGTCCCAACATTTGCTGACAGTTGCTGCAGCAAAGCCCAATCAGTCTGTAGTGATTCTAACTCATTGCGCCAGCCGATGCGGTGGTCCAGCTCTCCTGCAGGCTGATAGGTGTTGTAGCCCTGCTCAGCCTGGTCTGCTCCCAACCCCAGTTATGCTCACTAGTGAGAGTGGTAGCCCTGTAGGGGAGCACCTCAAAATCCCCTACCAGGCTTCTCCCTAGCCCAGGGTCTTGCATGTGCCATGGGTGCTGTGGCCCTGTCTGGCATGGCCCACCTTATCTCAGCATTCACCAGAGGGTGCTGTGGCCTATCCCAGCCCAGCCAGGCCCCAGTCCCAACTCTGATGTGAACTGGCTCATGTTGTGGCCCAACCTGTTCTGGCCTGTACTCTAACCTGGCTCTCACACCTGCCGGTGGGTGCTGTGGACTGACTCAGCCTTGCCCACCCTCAGATCTGACCCACACATATGCCAACAGGTGGCCTGGGTTACCACCAGCCTCAGCTCCCATGCTCACCAGTGGGGGCTGCATCCTAGCAAAGGAGTTCCCCAAGCACTGTATCTCATTTGCACCAGTGGGTGCTCAGCCTGACATGGCCCATGGCATCCACCGGCAGATACTACGGCCTAACCAGTCCACATCTATTTTGTCTTACTGGTGGGTGCTACAGCCCAGCCCAGCACTACCTGGCCCAACCCCAGATCTGGCTCTCCTGTGGATCAGCAGGTGCTATGACCTTAGCCCCACCTGTCCCAAACCCACACCAGCTCTTGCAAGTGACAGCAGGTGCTGGAGCCTAGCTCAGTCTGGCACACCCCAAGACACAGCCCACACACATGCCAAAGGATGCTGGAGCCTTGTCCAGCCTGGCCTGTCTACCGTCCAGTTCTCACGTGCACCAGTGAGAACCACAGCCCAGGAGGGGAGTCCCTTTAGCTCCCTAGCCAGGCCCACTCCCAGCCACATTTCTCACATGTGCCAGTGGTTGTTCTGACCCAGCCCAGCATGGCCCATCCCCCTTCTTTGCCCTTGCAAAGTGTATTTAGGGACTGATCCTGTTGCATCAGATGCTGCAGCCAGGCCTGGCTCAGCCCACTCTAGTCCCAACTCTAGCCGGTGGATGTTGCAGCCTAGCCTGCCCAGCCTGCCCCATCCCTGACGCTCATGCCAATTGAAAGGTACAGGAGTCTAGCCCTGCATGGCCCACACCCCGTCCTAGCTCCCATGTGTGTCAGTGTCGTTTGGCTTGGCCCAGCCTTTCCCAGTCAGTCTCCCGGCCAGTCCAAACATCTTCTGACAAGTGAAGTCGCCTTACCTGATCTGGCCCATACCTGAACCCAACTCTTGGGCTCACCAGCAAGAGTTACAGCCTAGTAGAGGAGTTTCCCAAGTTCCTCTACCAGGCTCACTCCCCAGACCTGGATCTCACACGTGTCAGCAGATGCTAGGGCCCTGCCCAGCATAGTCCAGCCCCCAGAGTTCAGCCTTTGTATGTACTTACTAATGGATGCTGTGGCCCAGCCTGCCCCACACCCAATTCTTAGGTACACCTGTGGGTGTTGCAGCTTGGGTAGCCTGGCCTGCTCCCAACCCCAGTTCTCATGAGTGTTGGTGAGTTCTGTGGCCATGCCTAGCTCGGCCCATCACACCCCTTTCCTCCCTCCCCACCGTCACCCCAATCTGCCACACACAGAATTCTCAAGCAAACCAGCTGGTGTGCATGTGGGGCCTGGTCTTCTGGAGAGGTGGCCAAGGTGGTGTCTTTTTTTTTTTTTTCAGATTTGTTTTATTTATTTGAAAGGCAGAATTAGAGGGAGAGAGAAGCAAAGCAATCTATCTGTTGATTCACTGCCCAGTGGCCACAATGGCTAGGGCTTGGCAGGGCCACAGCCAGGAGCCAGGCACTTCATTCAGATCTTCCAAGTAAGCATAGAGGCCCAGGACTGCTATTGCTTTGCCAGGCGCCTCAGCAGGGAGCGTGTTTGAACCAGAGCTCCTATAGGATGCCGTCATTTATAGACAATGGCTTAACTAACAATGCCATGGCTGGAGCTTCAGTGTCTTTTGGAAAGCCACCCCTGGCATGTCATGTGATCTGCACAATGGCCCCAGGGCCGTATGTGTCCATCGTACTGCAGGCCTTTCCTGTCCCATAGCACACACACCCTGCTCAGCCATGAGTGCCTTGGCCTCAGGACGCACTGGGGGTGGCATGGGGTGGCACAAGGCACCTGTGTCTAGGGACTGACCCTGTTGTTACACTGTTTATGTGTCAACAGCTCGGTGCACAGAACCTGCTGTCTGGCGAAGCAGCTAGTGTCCTAGTGAGGTCATTGTTAGCCCGGAGGACCCAGGGGCAGGCGGAAAGTTCTAGATGGCGCCAAAAGTTTCCCCCAAGAATAGCTGCAGCTGCCCCACAGCAATTCATAACTGTTGAACTATCAAAACCACTTGAGCAAGACCCTCGGAGCATGCCCTACCTCGGGGACCTGGGATGGGTGGGAGACTGGGTGGGGCTTCTCCCTTTACCTCTCCCTTTAGGTGGAGCCAACCAATCAGAAGATGACACTTACCTTTACATCAAGCCCCTTCATCACCAGGTCCCCCAAAGGCTCTGCAGACTTGACTCTGCAGGGCCTGCTCCAGGCATGTCAGCCAGGAGTGACCACTGCTCTGCTCCCCAACACTGGCCATCCTGTGGCATCTGCCTGTCTACTCTTACATCGCTTAAAGTCAATGTTCTGATTTGAAAATCAAAATTACAGAGAGTTTCCATCCATTGGTTTGCTCCCCAAATGGACACAATGGCATGGACAGGGCCAGGCCAGATCCAGGAGCCAGAGGTGGGTGCAGGGATCCACGCACCTAAGTGCTGGGTCTTGGCTTTCCCAGGCACATTAGCAGGGAGCTGGATCAAAACAGGAGCAGGGGCCCAGCGTGGTGGTTCAATCGCTACATTCTCACCTTGCAACCGCTGGCATCCCATATGGGTGCTGGTTCATGTCCGGGCTACCCCACTTTCCATCAAGCTCCCTGTTGGTGGTCTGGGAAAGCAGTGGATGGTCCAAGCCCTGGGGATCCTGCACCTGTGTGGGAGACCTGGAAGAAGCTCCTGACTCCTGGCTTCGGATCAGCTCAGCTCCGGTTGTACAGCCACTTGTGGAGTGAACTAGCAGATGAACTGAGGTTCTGGGGACATGCGCAGGTGGAGACACGGGGAGAACCTTCACCGCTGGACTCACGGGTCACAGAGGCCAGCAAGCCCAAAGCCGCCTGGCCGTAAGCTGGAGAAGGCTGCGGCTGACGGCAGCTTGGTGTCCAAGTGTGGATCAAAGAAAGGGAGGGCAGGTAGCTGGGAAGACTTCCCCTTCCCTGGGGTCTCAGTTGCATCTGGCCATCGGCCAACCAGATGACGCCCACCACCTGGGAAGGGCGCAGCGTGGGTGCTCACTCGGATGTGGACGCCCACCCTGGCCACCCAGGGCCCCTGAAGTCAGGACGCTGGCACACAACATGCAGCTGTCTCCACTGCGGGTGATTACGCCCAGGAGAGGGCAGCGCGACCTCCCACGGAGAGGCAAAGCAGGGAAGCCCCAGCGTGGTGGGGAGGGGGAAGTGCGTGGGTGGGAAGCTGTTGGAGGGCCTTGAATGCGTTTTGGGAAGAACCATCCATTCTCCCTTCTTCCCGCCCCACGCATGCCCAGGGAGAGGCGCGCGGCGGCCGCCAGGGGGAGCACGTCGCTGACGGGCCGGGCCAAGCTCCCCGCGCGCCTGTGTTCCCTGAATTTGGGGGTGGCCCGAGCACGGAGCCCTGGGGGGCCGGGACAAGGCTGCGGGAGGGGGTTGGTCGCCGGCAGCCGGCTGGGCGCGGGGCAATGGGGAGCCCTGGTCAGTGGCAACGAGGCCCCTTGCGAGCCCACAGGCGCAGGGCCCCCGGATGTTCACGTTTCCTTTGGGTGGGCGGCCTGGAGCGGGGAAGGGAGATTTTTTTTTTTTTTTTAAGAATGTGAGAGAGTGATGGAGAAACAGAGAGCTTCCATCTTAGGGCTCACCCCCCAGATGGCCACGACAGCCAGGGCAGCAGTCAGGAAACCGGAATTCCGTCCTGGGTATGTAGCAGGAACATAGAGACACACACACACCTGGGCAAGCACCTGCTG